TTCCACCCTGCTGGTAGGTGCTGGTGATAAGGAGAAGCCCCAGCCCCTGGCCACTAAAGCCAGCACTGCCACATCAATTAGGTGTGCACCTTGGTTTCCACACTGGGAGTGTTCCCTGGCAGTAGAAATGCTGTAAGCCCTGCTTCCAGTGAATTGAGAATCATACAAGGTTAGGGCACTTGTCCCAGACCCCCTCTGCAGCTGGCATGTGGTTGGCGCATTCTCCACTGCCCTCCATAATTCCAAGAATGCTTCACTCAGTGGGCGCTCAGAAACTCTAGGCCTTGACGCCCAGGGCAGCAGCCATCTCCCTGCACACCTGCTTGGTGGCGCTGGGCTGGACAGCTCCTGCATTTGCAGACAGGCAGCGTCACAGGCTGGGGCTGATGGTTCCCAGCCTCCAACTGTGCAGGCGAGACTACTTCTTCACTCTTGGGAGCTCCAGGAAACAATGGGCTCTTTTTCTGCCTGCCAGGTTACTCTGCCTCCAGACACAGGAAGCTTCTGTTGATCACATGAAGCCCAAGTGTGGGGCCAGAGGCCCTGGCAGGACACCTAAGGCCAAGGCATGCTGGCCTACAGGCTGGACCTGGAGCACCCGGCTGCGTGTGTGAACCCCTTCCCCACCCCGACCTTAAGGCTTCAGAGTGGTCAGTCAGAAAATTTCATCCAGGGCTCCTGACACCCTCAATTGATTAAGTGTGCAAACAAATAACAAGGCCRCGCCTTTGTGGTGGACAATACCATGTCACAGCTGTGCGTCATGCTGGTGCTTGCTGCCACATCCCACACCATAACTCCAGAGGGAGAAAGTGCTGCCTGGTGTCTTTCAYGTGGCTGAAAGCCCAAACCCTGGGGCATCCACCTCAAAGACAGCCCCCAGGGCACCCTCACCTAGGAGCCGGGCTGGGCGGGTCAAGTCCTGTCACAGCAACGATCCTTGTAGTTGCTGCTCCCAGAGAGCGAGGTTTCCAGAGAAGGGAGTTAAGATGTTTGTGGAACAGGCAGACAGCACAGTGTCCTACTTGAGTGGGTATGAACTGAACTTTGGAGACCGGGTTTCTGTGGCCATGGTGGTCTGGAGTGGTAGTCGTGACTCTTTATCACCCTTAGAGCCAATCCTGCCTGCTGTTCCCATCACCCCACATTTCTATCCCGCAGTTTAGAAGGGGGAGGAATGGAGTTCCTCCTATAGAGGTAGGTTCTATGGGATTCTTGGAGCCTGTCCTCAAATCCACAGCCCAAAGGGGGCCCCGGGAAAGGGAAGTGGCATATCTGTTGGGAGCTCACCTGTCTTCCTTTGGGCTACCTGTTGCACGCTTTGACAAAATAAGCTGAGGCAGAAGCACCCTGACCCCTGCAGGCTTGCTGCAGCTCAGTGCTGAGCCTTTACAGAGACCAGAGAGCTGCCCTCGCCTCCTTAGCAGATAGCAAAGCCACTTGGGCCACAATCTGCAAGGCCCAGGGCCTGTTCCAGCCCCACCCAGCCTGGGCCCTTGCGTTTCCGGGGCTCCTGGAATAGGCCACAGCAGACACAAGTCTTGGTTCCCCCAAGAACATGCAGGAGGTGAGGTTGGCCAGAGGGCCTGGGCAGCCAGATCAGAGTTGGGTTCCCTGTTTGAGACAGGAGTGTGGATCTTGCGGTCCTCTGTCAGCCGACAGGTGGACATGGCAACCTCACCTATGAGGTCTTAAACTGCATGTGGATCATGACTCAGCACAGAGCAGCAAATTCTCAGAACATTGATGTCTCTGGCCCCAACCCTGCCAACTTCATCTCTAGGAAGATCAACTTCCACACACCTGTGTGTGACTCTCACTCACTCTGGAACCTACAGGTATCATCACAGCAGAGGGACCAGAGGGAAGCAGCCGTTTAGTACATCTGACCTGAGAACACTCACCTGGCTGTGACTAAAAGAGGCCCAGGAGCCCCAGGAGGAAGAGAATTCCCCTGGGTACACCTGGTGGCATAGTGCTGTGGGGTAACCCCAGTTTGCCACATGTAAAGTGGACAGTGAACAGTGGGCTGGGACCACAGGCATGCTCAGAGCAATAGCCCTGGTTCACCTGGCAGTCTGCCTACCTGGGGAGGGCCTCCTGCCACACCATATGCCCCGCTAGGCAACATCAGGGTGAGACAGGCCAGGAGCACAACCTGGTACCCCCAAATCCCAAAGGGCAGAGCCCTGGGCTGGCAGTGTCATGCAGCTGGGGTGGTGGAGCCTGTGTGCACACTCAGCACCCGTCTGACCACGGCATTGGGGGGGTTCACTCCTCCCCAACAGATCCCCTCACAGAACGCCTGCTCCAGACACCCTGAATCTGCTAGACCTGTAGGAGACTGTTGCTGAGATTTTGATTTTTACTTCATTTCTGTGTTTCATCATATCTAGGATACCTGTGTAATAGTATCAAGGTAGGTGGTCCCGACAAAGGGGTGTTACAGGCCCAGGTGCAGATTCAGGCAGTGGGTGCCTACTTTCATTAAGGACACTATTGTGCCCTTGTGGCTTCAACCCAGAACTGCCTACCCCATGGAGAAGATCCTGGCCTATGGGGTGGACTCAGGCAGCATTGAGCCCACTCCTGGGGGTAGGCAGGACACTTAAAGAAGTCTCTAGTGAGTCACAGGACCAGGTTTGGCTTTCTTAGGTCCTTTCTTTAYTCCAGGAGGCCAGTCCCCAGAAGGGACCCTCGAGGACCTCATTGGATACTTGCCTTCCCTTTACTGACTGGCGTTAACCTAAGCCAGTTAAAACCTTAGAACCGCCTTAAGTGAAGTCGATGCATGTGGTAGTGGTAGGTTAACGCTGCTATTTCTAATGAGGACCTCCTTTAGAAAGTTGTCAGACCATGGCAGCTGGAGAAAACTCGTTCCAGATTGGGGAGGTGTGTAAGTGCCTGTCCCCTGGCACGGTGGCCCCCAAGTCTGGTGGGTGTGTCTGCTGCCTCCAGCTGCTGAGAATGGCAGACCWTTGGTGGAGGAGCACAGCTGAAGCCAGGCCCGTCTCTGCCTCCACCCTGGGAACGTTGCATGACAGCAGGTAGAGTGTGCCACCTCTCTGGCCCCGGGGTCAGGGTCTCAGATCTGTGCTGGCCTCCTCAGACAGTTGACATGCGGATGGGTCTTTGGCGTCATAATATGCCCTATTTAATTGGAATTGGCAATTGTCGGCCTTCACAGTTTAGGAGATTATAAATGTAAATCTCAAGTTTCCGGCTTCTCAGAAGTCCATGGGCTGGGCCTGCATCCAGGCGTGGGCACCCGGCTCACTCCTTGGCACTCCCAGTGGCTGCATTCAGTGAGGCTCTCCAAGGAATAGCTTCTCTCCATGAGGCACCTAGCTTTCTCAGGACAGGACCTGGGTACTGGGCACTGTGCGCATCAGGTTGCTGGCAGCCAAAAGTACAGTGGGTTTTAAAGAAGCTGTTATTGGAGCTTCCAGAATTGTGGGCTTCAGACACAACAKGGTCTGAGTGCTGGACATTCAGGAAACTGAGGGATAAACAGCTAGAACCCTACAGGCCCTCACACTGTCCTGTGAAACGGCCCCTGGCCTTGGTCTCCGCTCAGCCTTTGCAGTAGGGAAACTGCCCACATGCAGAGCCCTGGAAGTCCTCAGGGAGCAGACAGACATCCCCTTGTAGGACCGACCCCTCTGACCCTCTTGTCTGCATTCTGCACCAACCAGGGTCAGGGTCAGAGGCCAGGGCGCTGGGCTTGGGATGAAGCTGTCATGTACAGAGGCAATTGCTTCCACCTCTCCCCACCCTTCACAGTCCTCCCCAGCCTGCCAGCCTCCCTCAGGGTCAATGCTAATAGACCCCAGGCCTGCTGTCCACCCCCTCCCCCACAACAGCCCTGTGGTTCAACTGGGTGGACTTTTGCCCTAGTGGTGCGGTGTGGCCTGCTTGGCCATGGGGGCAAAGGCCGGGCCTGCACTGGGTACCAATTGTTTGCTGCTTTTTGGTGCCAGATTTTCTGTGGCATCTGCCCAGTCAGCCCTCCTGGCCTGAGAAATCTTTTCTGATCTCAGAGTTGGTCAGAGGCTGTCCTGTGAGAGCCAAAAGGCCAGGTTCTGAGGGGCCCAGCTTGCCCCCTAGGCTCCTTTTCTTGCCCCTCAGCTCACGGAAACCTGTCCTCAGGCGCCCTGCCCTCAGATCCCATGTCCACTGACCAGCCCATGCAGGACAGAGAAGCCTCGGCCACAGGCCCCTCCTCTCAGCTGGACCTGCTGTGTGTGGGAGTTGCCAGCACAGCCTCTGGAGTCCTGGCTTTCAAATCCCAGCCCCTCTTTGAACAGAGAGGGAGCTACAGAGAGACCTGTTCTTGTTTTAGCAGATTCAGGGTGTCCTGGTCTGTGAGGGGACCTGGCAAGGAGGAGGAAGCCCCTATTCTGTTCTGGGTCCTGTTCTTTTTGTCTTGGAGGCAGGGGCTCTGAGAACCTGTGTGCATGGGGGTCCGCCCTTCTGGAAGGCATCCTGGTGGGCACCCTGTGCCCTTTCTGGTCTCCTGGTCTAGGTCAGTAAACACCAGTGTCCTGGATTTTCATGAAGGACAAAGTGGGTCACGGCTGCTGGCTTTATTAGCCCCTCTGCCCTGGCCAGAGTTGCTCAGCTGCCACTTGGTGCTTCACTTCCCGTTGTTTTCTGTTGGCTGCTTCTTGGCCCAAGATGGCCGGGAATCGTTGCTGCAGAATGCCCAAGCCTGGTCAGAGACTCCCTGTGGGGTCTTCACTGGGAGGACCCCTTACTTAGCAAGGCTGGTGCCAGGCAGCTGCAGGTGTCATCAGRGCTGCTGCCCTCTGGTGGTTGCCTGTGGTGACAACATGTAAGCCTTCTCCCCAAGAAGCCCAGCTCTGCCATGGAGTGAGAGGGCTGGGTCCTGCCCTGCGGGGGCCTGGGAGGACAAGGCTCTGCAACAGATCAATCAGGGAGGTGCTGTGGTCACTTCATTCTGACACACCAGCTCTGACAGGCCTGTCTTTGACTTTCAGGGAGAGGCAGCAAGTAGGGTACAGGCCCCAGGCCCCGAGCTGTCACCAGAGGAAAGGAGGGTCCTGGAAAGGAAGCTGAAGAAAGAACGGAAAAAGGAAGAGAAGAAGCGACTGAGGGAGGCGGGCGCTGCCACAGCCCAGACCTCGCCAGCCAGGCGCTCAGGTGCAGAGCTGGCCCTGGACTACCTCCACGGGTAAGAGCTGCACACGCTCCCACACAAGGGTCTGCTGGCACCGCGGTCACAGATCTCTGTGTCTCCCTTTGCTTACACAATACCCTCAACCTCTGCAACCCCAGACTGGACCTCGGGATGGGAGGTCTCCCTGAGGCCCACGGTGGCCTCCTTCTAAAGCCCTGTCTCCAGGGGGTCTGGCCTTGCTCAGAGACAGCACGTGGGTGAGAGTGCTGGGCTGGAGAGAAGTGGCCCTCTGCTGAATGCCAGTCAGGTGCCCCCCCCCCGTGCCCTTCCCTGCCTGCTTCACATAAGCCTGGGGCAGCCACATACCCAAGAGTCAGGGCCCTGGGAACCTCCCTGTCGTGGTGCTCTCCCAACCCCACCCTTGGCCAAGGGCATAGCACAGGGCTGACCTTGGCTCAGGTCCTCATGGTTTCTCCTGTGGACTTTCCAACTATCCCCCTCCCCGGCCACAGTTTTGGTTCCTTAAATGAACCTTCCTTTACCCATGCCAGAGGGGGCTTTCTCATATGCAGCCTGATCACATAACCCCATCTGAGCGTCCCTGCATGTCCACGTTAGGKGTGCTGCCCATGGCCATGGTCCCTCCATCTCATCCCCAGTAACTGGGCTCCTCCTGACCCTACTGCAACCACCTGTGCACGTGTGCCCCTACTTCCTGCTCTGGGCRGTAGGGGAAGAAGCACTGACATGTGATATGATGTGGGTGAGGCTGCGTCACAGTGCAGACACGGGTTGCCGTTCTTCCCGAGTGGAGCATTCGGGGCAGACCCAGGCACAGACAGGAGTGTGACAGTGGCAGCGGGGACAGAGAGCAAGGATGCTGTCATTTGGTGGGTGCAGGTGCCAGCTGGGAAGATGAAAGCCGGTAGGTGGTCCACAGTGGTGGCCGCACAACAGTATAAAGGTACTTAGTGCCTCTGAACTATGCCCTGCGTCAMCCCACAGCTGGTTTGACATGGGGGAAACCCAGGTGACAGGTAGCCAGGTGCCAGCCTGAGAGAAGACAGAGGGGTAGTTAGAGTGGGTATCTAAGCACGTACTTCTGGGGTGGACGTGCCCAGTCCTGATGCCTGCGCTGCTCACCATCCTGTGAAGATGACCGCTTCCCCACGGTCACTAGCAGGGTCCTTTTTCATTTTTCAAGCTTCCCCTATTGCTAGTGCTATATAGAGTGACAGGGTTGGGTGCCAGTGGCATCCATGCAAGCATATCCTCTCAGATCAGAGCTGGATTCCTACAACGTCACCCAGAGTGGGTGGGGGCACCTTGTGGGGTGGACCTGCCCCTGAATGGGTGGGAAGACAGTCCCTGACTACACTGTCTCGGTGGTGGAAAGGAGACAGGGTAAGATGGCAGTCACTGTGGCACCTGTGGAGTGCTGGTAACCAGGGGCCCCTCTCAGACCCCATCTCCCTGTGAGCATGGATGCAGTCACACTAACATTGGYAGGGCCACAGAGGCAGTGTTCCCTCCCCTGTGGTCTCCTCTTGTGGGATCCGGCTGCCYGGTTGGGGTGGGACCTCAGGAATGCAGGATCTGCAACTCTGGGGCGTGGGTCTGGGGCCCACTGTGCCCTCCAGCTGCTTGGTCTTTTTGCTCCCAATGTCCCCATACCTGCCAGCAGTCAGCAGCCACTCAAAAGGCCATCATGGGGTGGGGGGCAGGCCTAGGGCCACTGGTTAGGTTCCTGGTCTAGAGGACACAAGGAGCTTCAGCTGCATTTGGATCCAGGCCTTCACCACAGGGAAGTCCCAGGCTAGAACAAACCGGGGGAGGTGGTAACRTGTTCTGGGAATCTGCTCAATGACTGAGTGTGCGTGAGGGGCTTACRTGGGAACCAACCCCTGGTCTGCGGGCAGTCAAGGGACTGAAAGCATCACACAGTGGCTTGAATCAGGAAGGGGTATTGTATGGGAAGACACCTGCAATGGGCCTCGGCTGGTGAGACGAGCAAGGACTCTAGAGAACTCAGAACAGCGGGTACCAGACCCAGGGCTGGGGCCCAGACCTCGTGGGATGGGGTTCATGGGTGCTGTTCCAGGGAGGTCTCCCTGGGGACATGGTGCTGAGAACCCTGAGCTCCCCCTCAGAGGACCCAGRGAGAAATGCACCCTGATGTCTCTCCCCCTCCTACTTCCTACTGTGTCTGACAAAGGAGATGTTTCCAAAGGGCCCACCCCGTTTCCACAGAGCAGGTGGTAGAGGGAGGGGCTTGGGGCTGATAGACAGCAAAGGCTCCTGGCACAGAGCCTGAGGGGTCTGTCTCCAACCCTCACTCCTAAATGTCCCCTTTCCAAGAGGGCAAGTCAGCTTCCTATGGGGACATGCGAGCTGGGGCCTTCACCATGCAGGTAGCACRAGACCCAGCCTTCTCTTGACTCTGCACGGAGTCCCTAGGTTCCAAGAAGGTAAGCTGATGTGGCAAGCTTTGCCCCAGGGACCATGTGTGAAGCAGGACAGAGCTGTGGTGTTCCCACCCAGAGCCCCAGCAGCCAGCAGGATCTGCCAGCCTTCAGGCCAGTGAGGCTCGAGGCCCAAGCCCTTCCCACTGTGCCCTCCAGCTGGAGTACTGCAGCCCTGTCGTCTTCTTCCCCTCCATCTTTCTGTCACAGCCATCTGTATTCCTGTGTCTCAGCCTCAGGCCTGAAGACTGCTGTCCATGGCAGTGGCTTTGCCCTTGCCTTACCCAGGATTCACTCTGCAGTCCCTTCCCAGCGTGCGGGTCTCACCTCTGAGAGCCTGGCCTGCCGTCCTGGCCCAAGTGCTCTTTGTCCTCTTCTGCCCCCACAGCCCTGACAGCACTTAGGGGCCAGGTCAGTTCAGGCACCACCAAGCTGCTGTCGCARAGATCAAGCACTGCAAAGCCCTGGGATAAGCATCTCTGTGCCTGTCCTGACARCTGAGCAGCCCAGACTGGCATGGCAGCCCTCCTTCTCCCTCGATGTCTGCACATTGTGAGGCCCACAGGCTGTCCCTGCCCCCATGAGCAGGARGCAGAGTGCCACACTTTCTCATGGACTCTCCCAGCCCCACCTGTCCTGGCCCAGTCTCCACTGACCKGCCTAGACACAGGGAAACCTAGCTGTCCCACTCATCAGAGGAGGAAGGGCCACCAGGGCTTGGCAATCCCGTGCAAGAGAAGCTTTTTTCCTAAATATTTTTTTAGTTGTCAATGGACCTTTATTTTATTTATTGGTGTTGAGACTCGAACCCAGTGCCTCACACATGCTAGGCAAGTGCTCTGCCACTGAGCCCCAACCACAGCCTGCAAGAGGAGCTTTTTGAAGAAGCCTGAGCTCAGGAAGTTCAGAATGCTCACTTCATGGTTGAGAGGTCACAGATGAGTGGGACTGAAAGAAATGGCCGCAAGCCATCCAGCCTTTATATCCTGTTACAGTGTGGGAACCCCAGGTTTCCCAAGGGGCCCCACAGCCTGCTGAGCTGGCACATCTTCCTGACCAGGACTCTCGCCACCATGCTGCCCCCAGCAGATTCAGCTCCTCACCTCAGAGAGGGGCTGTACAAGGCCCTGGAACACCACAGCTTCAGCCCTTAGCACAGGAGGAGCTTGGCCAGTCCGTACTCTGAGATGCTTGTCTCGATTTCCTCAGGTGGGCCCAAAAGCATAAGAATTGGAAATTCCAGAAGACGAGGCAGACGTGGCTCCTGCTGCACATGTACGACAGCGACAAGGTCTGTGCACACCCCAGGGGAAGGGTCTCCCAGGTGGCAGGCCTGTGCAGAGGTCACAAGCTGCAAGACTGTCCTGATGGTCCCATGGGGAGCCCAGCCTTCCCCCCACCTACATTTAAAGCAGAGTGACTCGTGCCCCTGCCAGAACCCTGGCTCTAGCTTTGAGGGCCCAGGCAAACCTGCACCCTGTGGAGGCCCCTGCCATGTGTGCAGGGCACRGGTGCACACTTCTTTTCAGAGCCGATTTGATTTCCTGGAGGGAGATGGGATCTAGACACACAACCCCAAGCCGTGAAGGGGTCTGAGCCCGGCCCAGCCCCTACAGGCCACAGTCATGTAGCCTTCACACTCCTGCAGGCACCCAGGGGCGTTCCTTCCACACCAGCACCCTTGAGTTTCCTGTACACCATTCCAGGCATCTCAGGAGCGCTGTATGTGTTAGAGTGCAGGGGACACCTGTGTCTGCAGACAGACCAGGTGAGGGCCATGCCTGTCTCACCTATGTCCCTGTCTCACCTATGTCCCCGTCTCAGCCAGGACATCCAGGCACAGATCTGTGGCTGCCATGGTGGGTGTGCATTGGTTTCACTGATCTTGAAATGGAACAAATTCAGAGGACATTCATTTCCCCCACAAAGTGGCAGGTCACAGAGATAAATATCCACACTCTCTCCCAAGAGTGTTATAGTTCCAGCTCTTATAGCACCAGTTGCTTAGATTGCATCTGTCTGTCATAAAGAAGGTCTCCAACWTTGTGCCTTTGCTTGTGGGTGGGTGCCTAGCATCCTCTGCCACCACTGGAAGACTATTTCCCCTCCATGAATTGGCACCTGTTGAAAATAAATTGGTGGGAGGTTGGTTTCTGTGCTCTGTTCTAATCTGTTGATCTATGTGCCTGTACTTATGCCAGTACCTTGCTGTCTGGAAGATCGGGAAGCCACACATATTGGTGACAGCTGCTCCTTTAGAGATGACAACACAGTACCCTGGAGCCAGGGCCCAGCCAGGCCTGCAGTGCACCCTGCCTTCTGTGTCCTCAGACCCCAGACTGTTTGAGCTTTTCTTCTTGAGTCTGCTGAGCTCTGTCAGGCCTGTCTTCCATCCCCCAGACTACTGTGAATGTCACTGCCTCACCCATTCTTTATCCTAGCAAATCTATTTCTTTAAAACTTGCTGGTTTGGTGGCATTCAAGAGGGCATGGTGGTGCTAGCCTCTAAATCTAGGAGCACCTGAGGCTGGTGAAGGAAATGGCTGAGGGCAGGGAAGRTGGCCCTCTCTTCCTGTGTGCCTGGACTCTTGCCCTCGGCAGGGCAGGAACACCATAGCTTGAGGGCCCTTCACATGGCCCTGCGGGGGCCCAGGTAGAAAAACASTGTGTGCCCATCTTCTGCTGCTCAGGTCTCTGTGTCGCCTTGCTCTGGCCCTGACCCTCTCCTCTTCTCCCCCTGCCAGGTTCCCRACGAGCACTTCTCCACCCTCCTGGCCTACCTGGAGGGGCTGAAGGGCAGGGCCCGGGAGCTGACGGTCCAGAAGGCGGAAGCCCTGATTCAGGAGCTGGACGAGGCGGGCTCGGAGGCCGCCCTGCTGGAGAAGGCCCAGCGCCTCCGACAGGTGCTGCAGCTGCTGTCCTAGTGCAGGGATGGAGTGGCACTCGGCTGCCCTGGGCTCTTCAAGACACAYTGAGGGTCTTCATTGGTCCAAAAGGAGAGAAGAGGGTCATGAGTAGGTYAAGCCACTTAGAGCTGGGCTTCTGGGCACCAGACCCTTGGAAGGACCTCTGGACCCTCCTTCTGAACTCCTGACCTGCCTTGACCAGGGACTGGTTTCATGGGTGACCAGGTCTATGTACCTTCAGAAAGCATGATCTCCCTGAAAAAACCCTGGGACACCAGCTCCAGCCCCAAGTGGCCCCAAAACCCAGATATCTTTTTCTACCAGGGGTATCTTAAGAACTGGCCCTCCCCACCAGCTGTGCTTCCTCAGTGTTTGGGGTGTGGGTCCCCAAGTCGGTCCCTGCACCTTCCATCTGACAGCCCTTCCAGCGTGGGCCTCGCCTCCTTGTGTGGCCTCCAGCCTGGCTTCAGGGAAACCCTTGGGGGCAGCTGTCCGGAGCCTGTGCCTGTGCTGCCCCATTTTCAATAAAACTCAGCCTGTCCTCACTCTCTGGTGGAGGTTGCGGAGGGCTGTCCGGGTAGGCATGCTTCAGCCGCCACTCCCGTCTTCAGCAGGAGCCTCCCAGGACAGCATCCCTGCTCTCAGGTTGCCTTTTCCAGGTATCGTAGTGACCATCCTGGCCAGGACATACCCCTGCACAGCAGAACGGGGRTTCCCACCCCTGACTGTCCAGTCACATGGGATGTGCAGGAGCTGGGCAGCCAGGGAGAAGCTGCTGTTGGGGAGGAGAGCCGCCAGGGCCAGGAGGGCTGGGGCTGAATCCAGGCTACCTGCAGAAGACCTCAGGGCCCAAGAGTGGCCCTAGTGGTTCCCAGCCTCCTCAGCCAATGGGAGTGGCACCAGCCCTTGCCTCGGTCACCTTTACAAAGCAAGATTCTCAGGCCTCAGCTGCCACCCAAGAGGGTGTCCTTAAACACACCTATGGCCCTTGCATATGCCTTTAATAAAAGTGGAGTGCAGTCCCCCCTCTGAACAATCAGTATCCCCCTGGAGCCAGCCACTGCAGGACTCCTGAGGCAGATAGAGGACACAGCCCCACCTGGTGCTCTTGGGACATGTATCCAGCCACAGGGGCAAGCTACCTGTGAGTGCTCCAAACTCACCCTTCAAGCCACTCCAGCTACACAAGGGGACAAAAGTGAGTTGTTCCCCAGGCCTGGTGACTGATTCTGGTCACCAGCGCTTGGGTCAGAAGTGAAGCACCGTGTGCGTGCACACCTGTGGGCAGCGGGACGTGCGGTGGCCTTGCTGGGGGCAGCCCCCGCAGAAGCACAGCCCTTCCTCCCAAGGCCAGTCATAGCCTGTGGCCATTCCTAGCCTGGGTGAGCCTGTCATGCAGACCCCTCGTCACCTGTCACCACAGATCCCCTAGACTCTTGGATTTAGAAGAGACCCAAGGGTCTCACTGCCAGGGTCTTGCCTGCTTGCAGTCTGGGGCTCCTTGCTGCTCCCCAGGCAGTGTGTGGCCCTGGCTCTGCTCCTCCACAGTGGAGATGCTCATCATACAGCATGCCCACAGATCCTGACCCATGTGGTAGCCACTGACCCACGGTGGCCCTTGGGAAGAGCATGTGAGGAGTCCTGGGCCTTATGCCATTGGATAGAGTCACAAACAGACCGTTCTCCCCCACCCCCATCCCCCATGGATCTATGATCCGCCTGCTGGCACCTCAGCCCTGCAGAGCAGCTGCCTGCAGCCCAGGGTAACGATACATGTGCCGTTGGGTGCAGCTCCACTGTTGCCGAACTTTGAGGCGTCTTAGGTTAGTACACCAAGAAGTAGGTAGGCAGCAATAAAGACCCACAAGGTACAAAGAAGGACAGGTGGTTTTAAAAATCAGGRTTGATAGATCAAGAACAGCTCTTGGTTTTCTGGCAAGCCAAGTTAGAAAGGGAAATGTGAAGAAGACTCACTGTCTGTGGAAACCCGTGTTGGAGACCTGGGCCCACTTGACTTCAACACYAGCATTCCCCTGTCACCTGCTGGAGAAGGGCTCTGTGCCTGTCTCCACAGCATCTCTGGCAGAATGTGCAGAGGGAGATGATCAAGAGATCACCTGGGACCAAGCAGCTCCTTGGGGGGTCCCTTGATGCCACTCAGAGGTGCCACTCTCTGATGAGACCCCAGGGGGGGGCCAGAATGTCAAGATTGAGCTGCAATGGGCTGGGGCTGTAGCTCAGTGGTAGAGCACATGTGAGGCACTGGGTTCAATCCTCAGCACCACATAAAACAAAWTTTTTTTAATTAAAAAAAAATAGATGGGCTGTGAGTCCTTCCCTTGCCTACAGCTCACAGAGATAAGTTGCATCTGGAAACCTCAAGTGATGGCTGTCTCCCCCTCTGCCCCTGCAAACTGGAAGTATTCCCAGTGTCCATTGCACAGGAACTGGACAAAGTGACACTTAACATCACAAAGGAAGAACTGTGGACACAAACAAGGAAGTGCCACCAGAGTCCACTCATGAGGTCCCAGGAGCTGCACTAACAGAGCAAAATGTACTGATGGAGCTGATCCAGAGGGCCGATGGGGCTCCAGGTGGGGCACTGTGTCCTGACGGAGATGGCCTCACATGCCTGTGGGCAGACCTTACGCCTTACATGCATAATTCCTCACTAAAGTTGATTTTAATAAACTAGTTTTCCCCAGGACACCTCTAGGACAGACACACCTTGAGGAGAAAGGTCACAAAGACACATCTGCAGGACAAAGCCTGCTGGCAGCATGAGGTAACAGTGTTTGCTTCCTTCTAAGGTTCCTCTTTATCCTTTAGCCGTGTGCACGGCTTGACCAACCAGAAACCACTGTTCAAAAGTCAGAATGGTGTTGGGAGCCGTGGCGTGCAGGTGGGCTGGCACAGGAACTCTGGGTGAGGGGCAGGCGCTGACTGGGGTGGTGGGACCTTCATGGATCCACTGGGGCACCTGGAGACCAGCCCCTGAGGAGGTAGCTTCTGTCCGCTGTTTCTTGAAGGATCTGTGTTTAGGCACGTTCTGAGGCCGTGTTGGGTCTGTCTTGCGCTCTTCTTCCTGGAGCAGTTGCCTGCTGTGTCTTTCTCTTTTCCTGATTGTCCCTCTCCGACTTGTCTGATATAGCAGGCTGGGCTTCTGCTGTCCTCCTGCTCTGCGCTGGTGCTGGCCCCCACACCCTCCTCCTKGTGGCACAAGTTTTCTGGCAGCTCCTGGGCACAGGCATTGCCTTGTCACCATCCCCTGCCTCCCAGCTGAGCGCAAGTCACACCCCAACCTCAGTTTCCGTATCTGTCCGCAGGGACCTCATAACCTCTCATACCCTCCTCATTTTCGCGGGGGGGGGGGTGTCACAGATGATAAAGTAAAGAACCTTCACACTGAGTAGTAATTAAGGTTAGAATCCTCTGGAATGCTCCCACATGGCGTCTTGCCCAGCAGAGCAGGGATTCACCCACCTGCTTCCAAGCCACTTGCCCAGTTCCCGGCCTCCTGGGGCAGGTGTGAGCAGCATCACCCCAGGGTGCAGCAATGGGCAATAGTGGACAGCCCTCCCGCCCAGAATCCAGCACATGCTGTAATTTTGCCTCACTCTGGAGATGGGCTTCTCCAGGCTGCAACTGGCCCTTGGACTCTGGGTGATGATCTCATCTCCCCGTCACCTGTGTCTTGAGTGTTGGCTGAATCTCCCCAATGCTGGGAAGAAGGGGCCAGCATTACCCCAGATAGTCCTTGGGCCAGCTGAAGTTGAGGCCAGGTGAGATTAGTTTGCTCTGTGGAAAAGCTCCCCCTTGGTGCTGGGACAGGTGGGGTACCCACCCCAATGGCCGTTCTTTCTGCCCTCAACCTTTAAATGACAGGTTCCAAACGTGAGAACAGAGGGGGCAGATACTTATATGCCTGTCGCCTAGCTCTTCCCCAGAAACACGTGACTGGATGCAGCCAAGCTCCCCTCACCTCCTTGACCCACTCCTTCACGTGACCACAGTGTCAGCACCTTGTCCCTGCAAACCTCTGTTGCAGTGACCTTCCCACAGTTATTGGGGACTTGCTGCGCCCGCTCTGGGGACTGGAGATGTGTCGCTGCTCGTGTGGGCCAGCCGCTCTCCCAATCTCRGGGCGCTGCTCCACGGCAGGAAGGCTACAGTTCCTTTTCTTTCTCCAGGAGGGGCCACCTTTCGTGCATGTGAAGTCCCTGGACCAGGGACCCTATCCCACTCAACTGACTGGCCCGCATTGACACAACCCTGAGTAAGCAGTGCTCCCCCAATCCTTGTGGCTGGGTGCCTCCCTTGCTCAGAAGGTGCCCCTTTGCTATTTGTGTGTCATCCACATCCCCAACTGGGCCTCCACTCACTCAGCAGCTGGTTCCTCTGTCCTCTACCAAGGTCATGGTCAAGGCGTGGGGCAGAGAGATTTGGCAGATGAGTGGGGATCAGAAGGACCCTAAGAAAGGTTCCTGGAGGTAGCAATTAGCTTGGAAGCTGCCCCCCTTCCCTTGCTAGCCCTCTGACTCTGGAGCCACCATGCTGACAGGAAGACCAACCCCCTTCCTCTTGTCACAGYGAGCCTTGAGTGTCCCCACCTGAAGCCCACCAGGCTCCCAGGACAATGGCCTGAACCGAGGTGGGTTTGAAGAAGGCTTGCCAGGTACAAAGCAGGACCCAGCTAAGGCTGGACCCCAGGACGGTGCACCACATGCGAGTGTCCATAGTGGCCTCTGTGAAGAAGCCCCGCCTCTGGAAGGCCTGGGAGCCATCGAGGCCAGGTGGGGGGCAATCTCGGCTTTCCTGCACCCCAGTTGTGTACCTCTGAGCCGGCCGCTTCAATGGTGAAGGGAGGCTCCCCCAGCGATCCCACAAATGAGCTGAGAATCAGGCAGAAGCACCGGAGCCTCCAGTCCAGCCCATGTAGCCTGGAGACCTGAGAGACAGGTAGCCCTGTGGGCAGTGTGGTAACACCCAACCTGAGGCCCTGCCCCGTGACCTGGGTGCATCATGAGAGAAGGGAAGCTTCTTGTGCTTCGGGCATGTCAGGGTGTGGGTCTCCCTTTCTGCACCAGGATCCCGTGAGGTTGGCAGACAGCAGGTCAGGGTCAGCAGCCTCCTGAAACGGCCTTGAACCACACCTGCCAACACAGCCTGACCTGGATGGTGGCTGCCCTGAGTGGCCCACCTCCCCTGAGGCGTCTCAGGGCTGCTGCTCCCTGTCCAGAGCATGGCTGTGGGAGTGCTCAAGGGCTTGCCTGGGACCTCCATTCCTCCACGTGCTGCCTATGCCCAGCCCTGGGGGAGATCAGCAGAGTGACCSTCTTGGGGTTAGGGGCCTCCCCTCCTCAGCAGCCTCTCCATTCCCTGTGGACACCCTGGTTTGGGGTTGGCCCCTGGACTCAGCATCTCCACCCACCTCCCTCAAAGCTCAATGGTCCTGCAGTTGTGGTGACCCATTTCACCAGTGAGTAAACTGAGGCACKGGGTGGGAGGAATTTGTTCCAGAACCCCAGGCGTTGGGACAGACATGAAGCCTTGGCCCCAGTGCCCATCTCAGGCTAAGTGTGAGCTAGCCTCTAAGGAGTATGCACTTGGCTCGGGCTGGGGGCTGGAGGCAGCAACTAGTGACATTCAGAGGACTCTGGGCATGGTTCTCAGGTGCACCAAGAATGAGGTAGGTCATGGGACTCCTGGACTAAGACCAATTTCTGGGTAGACGTCACCCCTGAGCCTAGGCATCACCCTGTATTTCCCTGTACCCCAAAACTGTACATGCCTGGTGGACACTGGTCCCGGTAGGGAACTGGATAGGTAGGGAATAGATCAGAGGGACACACTGGGGGTGACTGCAGAAAAGGCACCAGAGGACATGAGCCCCCTACGGGTAGTGGAGGTAAGGAATGAGGAAGAAAGGCAGGGAGGGGTGTCCTGCTTTCCTGGGAGCAAGAGTGGAGGAGGGATCCATGTTTGTGTGCAATCCTGGGAGGGAGCCCAGGGCCTCAGAGGCAYAGACTCGGGCGGGGTCAGGCTGTTTGGCTATGGAGGGGCGCTTCTGTCCCCATGGTATTCAGATGAGGTTGTTACCAGCCCATACTGGACAGGACGGCCCCACCCACCATGGACAGGTCTGTGGCATGGAAGCCATGTGATGGCTGTGGTCAAGGTGGGGCCCAGAGAGATGCCTGGCACTGTGTGCTGGACATTGTCATGGCTGGCACAGAGACCACCATGGAGTGGGAGTGGAGCTTGGCACTGTGCCTGCCACTCACCCTCAGAAACGCTGCCCCCTACCCCTGCCATCCACATTAGAGGCCCGGGAGGGGCAGCCCCTGGGAGTTTCCCAGTGGAAGCTCCTAGGGCCAGGGCACTGCCCGCAGGGTGTGGGCACGAGGCCGCATGGTGAAGGCTGGGGCAGGAGTGGCGTCCAGGGCAGTGGGGCTGATGCCAGGTGGAGGCAGCAGGCGGTAGCGCTGGAGGAGGCCAGCGAACAACAGGAAGAGCTCCGTCCTAGCCAGGCTCTCCCCCACGCAGACTCGGCGGCCTGTGAGGGTAAGGGAGACACCAAGTGGGTGCCAGGCCTGCTCCCAGAGGGGGCGTCCCTGTGGGGGTGCTGGGGGCGTGCCCTGAGGGCCAGAGACCAGGCATCTCAGAGGGGCTTGTCGCCTGTGGGCCTCTGGCCCCAGCCCTGGTACCTGTAGAGAAGGGCAGGAAGGCGGCCCGCTTCACGAAGTGCCCATCAGCATCCAGGAAGTGGCCTGGGTTGAACTGATCTGGGGTCTCCCACTGTGTCTTGTCCAGGAGCACTGAAGTCAGCAAGGGAATCACAGGTGTGCCCTGTGGGGGCCAAGAGGAGGACCCCAGAAGCAGGAAGATGGGATGAGGGGCCTCTGAGGAGGTTTCCCTGAGGATGAGGCTCCTACTGACCCCACCTAGCCTGACCCTCGGGACACAGAGGAGGACCCTGATCCCCAGGCTCTGGTGTCCCAGGCAGGAAGTGCTGTGAGGTTGGGGTGACCCTTTCCTTGTTCCAATGGGGGAATCCCTGTGCTGTCAGGCACCAGCCCCAAGACTTGGCATCTCAGAGTCCAGCGATCCTGACCAACCCTGAGCAAGAGGGAAGGAGAGAATGAGGCCCAGCTGGGCCCCCACCTTGGGGAGCAGGTAGCCACCCAGCTGAGTGTCAGCTGCTGTGCAGCGGGGCACGTGGGGCAGGAGTGTGATGTACCGCTGGACCTCATGCAGCACTGCATTGGTGTAGGGCAGTACCCTCTGGTCCTCAGGCCGGGGCAGCCTCCCAGGGCCCAGTACATGGCTCAGCTCCTCCTGCACACGGCCTGTACCGGAAAGTGGTACCATGTCTGAGGAAGACCATCACCATCACCTTGCCCTGGGRTACCCAGCCACATGCAAGGCCTCACCTTGCACGCCTGGGTATTTGGCCATCAGCAGGATGGCCCACTGCAGTGTGGCAGAGGTGGTCTCTGTGCCAGCCATGACCATGTCCAGCACACAGGCCACAGCGTTGTCCTCTGCAAAGAGCCCCTCTTGGTCATCCCCCTGTGAGGCAGTATGGGCAGAGCTTGAGGACTTGAGGTCTGTCCACCCCAGCCCCAAGCCCAGGACAGAAAAATGAGCTCCCACTCACCACCTCCAGTGCCCCAAACCAGGCACTAGGAATGTCCCATTTCATGCCTCCCCAGCCCCAGTCCTGGGGTCCACTGGGACTCCCCACAGGCCTCCTGGTTTTCCCCTACCTGGCCCTGCTGGATCAGAGCATCCACGTAGCTCTGCACAGGGCCACCCTGGGGCGTGGGGGAGGCCCGTGCCTGCAGGAGAGTCCTCAGGATGACACGCACTTCCTCGATCTTGCGCAGGACAGGCCGGTGCAGCTGGAGCAGGGTCCCCAACCAGGGGTAGATGTTGAACAACTGGGACAGAGGGCAGGGTGGTGGGGTGGGGCCAGGCACAGCCACCTGGTCCCCACGGAGGGAGCCCGTCCATCGAGCAGCAAGGGTGTCCCCATCCAGGGCTTCAAAGGTGCTGGGGTATGTGCTGCCCATGGCCACAAGAGGGCGCCTGGCTGGAGGCCCGCCGCCCTACTGGGGGTCCGGGGACTCAGGAAACCTCAGTCGCAAGCATGGAGCCATCTGACAGTAACACACCTGGTGGCTTTATGCAAACAGGCTGCCTGTGACCATGCCCCCTTCCACCTGCTAAAGTGAGGAGAAAGGAAGAGGGGGCATTTGCTGCTGCAGATTATCACCCACTCTGGGAGTTGCACAGAGGTGGAATCTGAGGAGCCAGGGTGTCCCCCCYCCCAGCAGGTGGAGGCCAGCTGCCGTCCAGCTTACCCTCGGACACTTGCTTTCCCAGGACACCAGCAATCGTGGGCAGAAACTCCTCAAGGCGCTCCAAGGTGAGAATCAGGCACGGGTAGGAAGGGCCATGGGACTGCCTCACAGAGCCCCATTTCGAGGGACTCCAGGGGAGGGCTCTGGAGTTGGGCGGGTTGGCCTGGTGCCCCTAAGAGCAGGACAGCCTCACTCTGACTACAGTGGGTCASGGGCTGCAAAGTTTAAGGACCAGCCCCGGGCATTGCCGTGCTGTCCCACCTCACCTCCTGGGACCTCATGCCAGGGACAGCAGAGTGACAAAGCACACCTGCTGCCAAATCCTGCTGTCAATCCCACAAGCAGCACACCTGGTGTCTAGGCTTCAGCTAACTCACAGTTAGAGACGCCAAAGAAGGACGTGTGGAATCTGTAGACTTTGGAAAAGAATGACGCGTACCCCCATGATGTCAGAGAACGGATTTTGTGGTTTCTGTAATGTGGTGAAGGACCTGGGCTGCACCCACGTCTCTGGGTCCTACCCACCTGAGGGAGGAGTGTCTGGCCCCACTCCTCACCTTGGAGCAGGTGTGACTGTGACTGATGGGGCACTGGGAGAAAATGAGGATCCCCTGCTCCAGACCTCCTATTTCCCACAGAGCACAGAGGCTGGTCTGCGGGCGTGCAGCCAGGGGGTCACCAAGGGGGTACAGACTCAAGCTCTCGACCCAAGTCCAGGCTCCTTTCGCTGACGGTGAAGGATGATGCTGGACACCCCCAGTCCTACTCTCCCCAGGGTCTACCCTACCTCMAAGGGCTCAGCTCCCATGAGGCAGTGACCTCTCACCTGCAGGCTGGGGGACCCCAGGAGAACCATGACCTCATCAATGAGACCCAGCAGGGACACAAACATGGTGTCCTGGTAGTCAAACCGCTGGCCGAAGAGGAGTGCGAAGGTGATGTTGGAGGGAGCCCAGCCCAGCAGGGCCAGAGGGAAAGGCCGGCCTGCAGGGGAGACGGGCTTCAGGCAGGCAGGGGACCCCAGGGAGAGGTGTCCCAGCCCCTGCTCACCTCCATAGCTATCCAGTTGTCCCATGAGACACGCCAGCTCCTGCAGCACCTTGTCGGCCATGGGCGCCTGCCCCACGCCCAGGCTATGCAGCACACGCACTGTGAATTGGCGGGCAGCCCTCCAGCGYGCCCCAGAGGAGAAGAAGATGCCTGTGGGCGGACGCGGAGATGCTGTGTGGCCGTCACCCTGCCCTACATGGCAGGCAGGAGCAGTGGGGCCACCTGGGTCAGCAGGGCCTGGCAGAGGGGTCTCGGTTCCACCCTCCTGTTCTCTGGGGGTTGGCCAGGGTTAGCAGGCCCCYTCTTGGCTTGTGATGGGAAGACCTTAAGGGCTCCTGTTCCCCTGGCCCAGCACCAGCCCAAAGGTCAGTCCCCACCTTCTACGGCAGAGGACCACACACCTACCCCCGCCTTGCTGGATGAGCTGAAAGATGGGGATGGGGGGCCGATCCGCCAGCTCCTGCCCGGTGCCCACCAGGGCCTCCCTCACAGCCTCATAGCCGGACAGCACCACAGTCTTCTGGCAGCCCAGGTGAACRGTGAACATTGGCCCATAGCGCTTGGAGAGCTGGTGGGGGCAGCAGGGGTCAGGTGGGCAGCCCCTACCCACCAGGCCCTCTGGGGTCCACTTGGGCAGAGCACTGCTGGGTGGAGGAACTGGGGAAGACTCTGCAGGGTGTATCGGGCATGCGGGGCCATTTCGGGGGACCCATAGAACCATCCCCAGTCTACTGGGGTGCTGCCTTTTGRTGCTGGGAATGACTTTCACGGGTTTTCTTTTCAGCAGGAATCCCAGAGGCCCTCAAGACCCACGATCAGGCTGCAGGTGGCCTGGGACTGCACAGGCAGCAGGCTGGACAGTCCCTCCAGGCTGTGGCCCTCTTTGGACTTTAGCTTGGTCAGTGGCATCCCCCAACCTGCACCAAAGGAGGGACAGAAGCAGCATCCAGGCCACGGCTGGTCAGTTCTGACTCTGACCTTCACTGGCTGAACAAGGACAGAGAACAGCTCACATCCGGGCTGCCCCCGAGCCTTTTCCGTCACGCTCCTCCCCTCTGTCCTTATGGCATATCTGCCCAGGAAGGTGTCATCTCCCCTTTTTAAGCACAGGACACTGAGGTTCAGGAGCAGGTGATCTGCCTTTGGCCACTCATGTCTGAGGATGGAGCTGAGCCTGCTGTCCTGCCCAGCACCAATCTAGGGCCTGAGCCCCTGAGCCTGGTGCCCAGGGCCAGGTGGGGCCCAGGTGTCCTGCCCTAGGGAAGGTGTGACAGGCCAGTTCAGCCCAGGGCTGCAGCCCTCTGCTGCCTGCCCACCTGCAGTCCTGGAGAGGCCATCTGGGGGACTCTGGAGACAGAAGCCCCTTGTAAGGAGAACTCTTAGGAACTGCAATGGGGCAGGGGATGAGGGCTGGTCTCTGGTGAGGGCTTTGGGAACTAAATGGAAGGGGCTGCTTTGGGGTTGTGGGGACAAGGTGCCAACCCATGCAGGGGACAGGGCTGGTCAGCCCTCACAGGGCAGATCCGGGCTCTGTCTCCCTGAGTCAGCCTGCCCACAGYTGCAAGGCAGGACAGCCAGCCTTCAACTTGGCCGAGAAACTGTGGGGTGGGTGGCTCTCTCTTCCCAAGATCAGGGTAGGGGCACTCCTCTTGCCTCCCGGTGGGCCCAGCACCATGCTGAATGGATGGTGTAAACTGGGTTTGGCTTCCTCAGGGACAGGCCTGGGACACGGCCACCATCTGGCTGAGGGAGTTGAGCAGGGCTACCCAGGCCTACCTCCATCAGTGACCGGTCCTGTTGCGAAACACTCAGCAAGTGCAGGTTCCCCAGGAGCGGCAGCGGGCGAGGCCCGGGGGGCCATCGCAGGGCTGGGGAGGGGCTGCGGGCAGAGGCACGGAGCAGCCCCCAGAGGCCCAGGAGGACCAGGAGCCCCAAGAGCAGCAGGGCCATGCGGACAGCGGGAGGCAGGGCCCCAGTTCCCCTCTGGGCCCCATCTGCCCGTGCCTTATAGCCTCCCTCCCAGAGGGCGTGCCAGCACCCCACCCGCCCCACCACCCCGAGAATGTGGAACAAGCAGTTTGCAGGGGACAGCCCCAGCAGGAGGCTTAAAGCTACAGCTGCGTGGAATGCAGGTTGAGTGTGTGACAGGGGCCCAGGGGTGGCTGGGAGCCCAGGAGGCCATGGGACTGTCTGGGATCAGGCATCCAAGATCTCTACACCCCAAGAACTTGCCCCAGGGTCCAGGCACTCGGGCTGTTGTATCCCTGCCTCTGGGGCTGCCAGCCTGCCTTGGTCTCCCCATCAGAATGGGGCTCTCAGGGCTCCAGGGCCTGGGCCTGCCTCTGAGGGGAGGATCCACCCCCAACCGCCCCCAGCTCTGAGTTTCCCTCAGCAGGACCCTGGGCAGAGGCAGGTTCCTGGGTGTCTTCTGACACCATCTGTCTCCTATCAATGTCCAGGGAGGGCTGACAGTGTGCAGCCCCTGGGGACCACCCACGAGGGGCCTCAAATGCCAGGGCCTTCGGAGCCTCAGATTCATGCCGGGGCTGCTCCTCCCACCGCWGCCTGTTCCTGTGGGGGTTCTGCAGGGGTGACACTGAGGGATGGGGCAGGGGATGCAGTTCACCCAGAGGGCCACCCTGCAGGCAGCACTGTGATAGGTGCCCCAATGTTTTCYGCTAAACCCTGATGGCAGAGCCTGGAGAGGAGGCGCTGCTTTGGGAATGAGCTGTGAGGGGYGGGTGGCTCTTGGCACCAGAAGTGGCTGGGCCTGCTTCACACCGCCTGCCCTGACACGAGGCAGCCCTGTCGCTGCCAGCAGGGGCCCCTCCATGAGGCCCATCTCCCAGAGTGTCATCCACGCCCTGCACAAACCGCAGAGCCATGGCAGCCAAGGCCCTTACCCTCTCAGGTATTGTCCCCCTTTGATAGGCTGTGAAAGGAAAGTCCCAGCCTTGGTGGCACACCTCCTGAGACGGGGCACTCACACCTCCATCCCCTGCACAGTGAGAGATACAGAGGGAAGCATGTTTTGTCCCACCCTCTGGAGCTCTGGGGCATTCTGCTGAGCCCCTGGTACCAAGGTCACTACAGGGTGTCCAAGCTGAGGAGTCCTATCTGCCCAGGGAAGTCCATTTAATAAGAGAAGCACTTTTTTTTTTTTTTTTTTTTTTTTGGTACCAGGAATGGAACCCAGAGCCCTCAAACACTGAGCCACATCCCCAGCACTTTTTATTTTTTATTTTGAGACAGGGTCTTGCTAAGTTGCTGAGGCTGAATTTGAACTTGCAATCCTCCTGCCTCAGCCTCCCGCCTCAGCCTCCCAAGCTGCTGGGATTACAGGCATGCGCCACCAAGCCAAGCTAAGAAGTACTTATTGAGTGCCTGTTATGTGCCGGTTTCTACCAGGAGCTAGGGCTACAGAAATTGGCATAGGGACCCAAAAGTTCCACTAGGCTCTCACAGCCCTGTGGACTATGGTCATGTAAGAGTTTGCCGCCAAAAATGCCTCTAGGGCTGGTGGGGACACCGTGAAGGCAAGAAGGCCAGGGGATGCTTTGGAGAGGATGTGGCGTCTGGGCTGCAGCTGCCGAACTGGGATGGCCCAACTTGCAGACACCTCGGACCTGAGCTTGAGGTGGGGTGAAGAGAGCTGGGAAGGTCCAGAGCAGGTCAGGAAAAGACTTTCAGGGAGCTCAGTGCCAGGGACCCCCCGGAAAGCACAAGCCCCACACTCACGGCTGGGAAACCTCCTGTAGCCACTGCAGCAAAGAATCAGAGCAGTTTACTCTGCAGTTCCAGGGCCAGGAGTCTGAGGTCCAGCACCTGCAGGGTGGCTCCTTGTGGACGTTCTAAGGGACAACTTGTTTTTTTTGTTTTTTGTTTTTTGGTACTTGGGATTGAACTCAGGGGCACTCGACCACTGAGCCTCATCCCCAGCCCTATTTTATATTTTATTTACAGACAGAGTCTCACTGAATTGCTAAGTACCTCACTTTTGCTGAGGCTGGTTTTGAACTTCCGATCCTCCTGTCTCAGCCTCCCAAGCCACTGGGATTTCAGGCTTGTGCCACTGTGCCTGGTGACAATCTGTTCTTTGTCCCCAGCTTCTGGTGTGGTTGACACCCGGGGCTCACGCATGCCTCCCTCAGCTCCGCCTCCTCTCCCATGCCTCCTCCCTGTGTCTTCTCTTTTTCTGTCTGACACTTTGGGTTTAGGGTCCACCCTAATACCAAGGGATCCTCACCTCAGTTACCTCTACAAAGACCCTGTTTCCAGATAAGGGAAACATGTTTCGTAGGGAGAGGCCACAATTCAACCTGCTGGAACATGGCTCCCCTAGGTATGCACATATCCGTGGGTCTCTTATCCATTTAATCTGCAGTTCGCACACCCCAGGCAGTCAGGACCATAGGAGGGACTTCGTGAGAGGAAGCCCCTCCCCCTGGGCCACTTGCTTCTGCCCCACTTGCACCTYGTCTCCCATGTACCCTTCCAGAGACACAGTGGCACCTGGTCTCATTTGTGCCTCTTTTAAAAATTAGCTTTATTAACAAACAAGGACCGTGTGTTTAAAGCATACAGTCTGAGTGACACATGTCCACACCCATCACCACTGCCAAGACAGTGAACATCCCATCATCCCCCAAACCCTTCAAGCCCTGTGTGTCCCCTGCCTCCCTCCATTTCTTGCTTGCCATTTTGTATTTTTAGCATGACTGTGTACCCTGACAAGACAGGGCTTCCTCTCACAGTTGCCTGGTCCAGGGCACGGCAGGTGCCAGCATTCTAAGTTCAGCCTTGGGCCATCAGAGAACGTCCTGGTAGAACATGGGTGCAGCTCCTCTGTGTACACCTGCTAGGATGCTGCAGTGTCAGCTTGCAGTGGCATCACCGGGCCAGAGGGATTTTCCTTTTTGATTCCAGCGGACATTCCCCACACTGACTGCGGATTGTTCTGATCAGACTTGATCAGGACCATTAGATCCCAATCTTGAGTTGTGCCRTGGCCTGGTTGAATGAAGGCTCAGGCCACACCTGGCCCTGCCACCAGAGGTGGGGCTGGTGGGTTTACCACAGGGGTCAGGAGTCAGACAGAATGGGTTCCAAGCTCATTCCCTCCACTTGCTAGCCATGGCGACGGCAGCGTCCAAAGAGCCACACAGGTGCTCCCAACCACACAGCCTCCATATAATACAAGTTTGCCTTTCTCCCATTAAGAGAAGGGGCCTGGGTTTCCCTGCCCTTGAATCTGGAGGGCACTCCTGACCATGATGGAAGCAGACCTGCAGGGCTGCCAAAGCTAGATCACAAAAGAGATGCAGTTTCCACCTGTTTCTCTGGACTGCTTGCTCTCAGGCCCAGCCGCCATGCTGTGAGGGGGCCCAAGCAGAGTAGCTCAGGTGGAGGGAGCCGACTGGTGTGATTTAGTCAAGTGGAAAGGGCTATTTGCTGGGTAATAAAAGCTTCTATTGTTCGAAGCCCTGGAACCTTATTAATGAATAACCCAGTATGCAGTCCCTGCATGGTCACACTCCCAACCAACGACCTGTGCCCACTCATCAGCAGCCAGAATGTACCTTCTGCAGTAGCCCATTCCAGCTGATACCATGTGGTGCTGTCTCCACCAAGACCTGTCCAGACTGCAAGTTCCTGAGCAAAGCAAATCGTTGCTATTTCCTACCATTAAATTTGGGGCCACATGTTACAAAGAAGTAGGTAATCCACATGCTGGCTTCATAATCTTTTTGTTTGTTTTCCAGGGGTGGGGGTCGAACCCAGGGGCACTGTACCACCAAGCTACACCCCCARACCTTTTCCAAATTTTAGTTTGGGATAGAGTCTCCCTAAGTTCCCAGTATGGCCTCAAACTTGCAATCCTCCTGCCTCAGCCTCCCTTGACTCTATAGTGTTAAAGGAGGGATTTGACCCCTTTGAGTTCATTMTCTCTCTGTGTATGAGGTGACAAGGGTAACATCATCCTAACTATATTCACTCAAAACGATCWATTGAGCACCTATCTGTGCCAGTCTAGTTACTGGGGATCTCGTGTGAAAAGTGCCTTGTGTGAAAATAACACAATAGAGTTCAGAAAGGTTAGCTCTTTTCCCACTTTTCCTCTCTGTGAACTGCAAATAAAAATCTCTACCAGTTAAAGATCTCATATAAAGCAATAATCATTTGCAAGGAGACAGTCAATTAAAAGCTGGCCTCTGCTACGTCCCTAGTTCCTCAGTGCTGCCAGACAGAGGCTGTGGCAACCTCAGGGGAGGGGGCTGTTCTTTACTGCTAAGTGGTGTGATCTAGTCAAGTGGAAAGGGCTATTTGCTGGGTAATAAAAGCTTCTATTGTTCGCAGCCCTGGAACCTTATTAATGAATAACCCAGTGTGCAGTCCCTGGTTTCAGCCATGTAAAATGGTTGTTTATGTGACAAGAACAAGGTGCAATTTTTCCTTTTGTAGTTTTAAGTGGGCCCAGAGCCCCAGAGCCTCTGGCAACTGAAATGGGCTTCCTAAAGGGTGGGACTTCCCTGGGTCCTTGCAATGAGATCTCTGCTGGGTGTTCACGAACATTCAGGGTTGCCTCTGGGCAAAGAGGTGAATCCAGACTGGAACATAGGAGTCCAGTGGTGTGTTRTGTTGGGGGTAGGTGTGCAGGGAACAGCAAGCGGAATGCTGGAAGGCTCCAGAGAGGTGCCCCAGTCAAGCTAAAAGAGGGGCAAGCTCAGGGTTTGCTGGCTGGGCACCTCTCTGAAACCCCTCTGGGAAGCTGCTGAAGTCAGCTTCTCCATCCAACAGTAGAAGCAGCTGTGATGTTGTGTCCCTTCAGAGCACTGGGGTAAGAAAGCTCATCCAGAGGGGCCAGCTGTGAGCTCTATGTTGCTTCCTGCCAGGCCTGGCATGTGGTTGGTGTGCAGTCATTGTTAATGGGTGGAAAGGAGAAGAGATGGAAGTCGAAGCTCAGGCAGAATCTGGAATGGCCAGTAATCTATCTCCTTCATCATGCAGCTGAGGAACGTTGACATGCAGAGGATAGGTGGTCCCCAGGTTCAGAGCTGGGCAAAGGCTCTGCAGGTGAGCACCAAGGCCTCCAAAGCCCTTATTCCTCTTGTTATTGTTTCTATAACAACAGTTCTATGCAAATGCCAGAGGCTTCACTTTTGTTCCAACAGAATATTCCCCCAATATTTCTAGCCCCCAATACCTAAGAATGTCAATTTTCTTTTTTTTTTTTAAATTGGGTTGTTGCAGATATATTCAGTTAAGATGAAGTCATTAGGATGATCCCTAACTCAACATTAGCAGGTATCCTTATAAAGAGGCAATCTGGACACAGAGACACCCAGGGAGAAGGCCAAATGAAGCGGGGGCAGGGGAGGGTGCTACTTCTACCAGCCAAGGTACACCAAGAGTTGGCAGCACACCCCAGTACCTGGGTCTGAGTCTCCCTAGAGCCGGCAGAAGGGACAGCCCAGCCCACATTTGATCTCAGACTTCTGGCCTCCYGAACCACAGAAGACTTCTGACTTTTAAGCCTCTGTGTGTGGTACCGTGTTATGGCAGGAAGCTAGTGCACACTCCCTCATGTGATGCATTTCTTGCCATGATTAGGCCCTCTGCTCAGATGGGAAAAAGGACTGGAACGCGACAGGCAGCCGCCCAGGGTTCGGCTGGAGCTTCCGGAGTTGAGGGAAGGAGGCTGGAACCAGAAGCTGGACCTGGGGCCYTCTCCCTGGGGCGTGGCCAGGCCCTTGCCGCGGGGCGGCCCTTGCCCCGAGGAGTGGTGGGGGCGGGGCCTTGCCGCGGGGCGGGGCGGGGCGGGGCCGACCCGGGGCTCGATGCGCTMGGCGCTCCCAGAGGCTTGCTCGGTCCTCGGCTGGCAGCCCTGCGCACGCCGCCCATCCCGCTCGCTGAAACCCGGCACCACCGTCATGTCGACCGCCATGAACTTCGGGGCCAAGAGCTTCCAGCCGCGGCCACCGGACAAGGGAAGCTTCCCTCTGGATCACTTTGGTGAGGGTGGGAGTCGGCGGGCGGCATCACCCTGGCTCGCGAGTGTAGGGTCGGAGCCTAGGGGAGGGGAGGGTCCGAGGAGCGGGGTGGGTCCGAGGGGAGGACCCTGGGAGGACCCTATCTGAGACCGGTGTCCCAGGGGGAGAGTCTGAGGAGGGGGCGGGTACTAGAAGGGGAGGGTCTTGGGGCGGGTCCTGAGGGAGGGGCTGGTCCTAGGGACAGGTCGAGGGGAGAGGCTGGGCCAGAGGGTGGTCCGGAGTCCTGGTCAGCTAGTGCTGGTCAGCTCAGGGCTGTGTTCCGGGCTTCAGTGTCTGGGATCCTGGGTATGATTCCCATAGCCAGCAGTGCTCCAGGCCCGTCCCAGGCTGCTGGACTGGACCTGTCCTGATCCTCTTTGGGGGCTGACAGAGAAACAGGCTGGGGGACCCCGTGAACTGAAGGTCCCCGTGGGGGCCTGGACTCTCCTGGTGAGAGCTTACTGGGACTATGGCTCTAATGTGACAGGGATAGTACACCGACTTCGCGAAACAGGATTCAGTTATATATATATATATATATTTATTTATTTATTTTAGCTTTTTAAAAAAAATTTTTTTGGTGTAAATGGACACAACACAATGCCTTTATTTTTATGTGGTGCTGAGGATGGAACCCAGTGCCTCACACTTGCAAGGCAAGTGCTCTGCCACTGAGCTACAGCCCCAGCCCCCTACAGCCCCAGCCCCCAAACAGGATTCAATTTTGATCTTCCTCTTGCTTTTACTCAAAAGTGTGGTGCCAGAACATGAGCAACTGTTATTAGTGGTAAAAGTGCCAGTTATTTTTATTTTAATTTTTTT